AACAGTTCATTGTTGGAGCTGAGCTGTGAGAGAGAGAGAGAGAGAGAGAGAGAGAGAGAGAGAGAGAGAGAGATGCAGAGCGTATGCAGAGCAGGGGAACGTGAGGAACAGTATTAAAAACCGTTGCTTTAGAACATTGATTTTGAAACTTGTTAATCCATTAGAATCATTAGAAGACAGAATCGCGATTCATATATGAATAGATTTTTACGTGCACCTCTAGTTTTCTCTTCCTCTTCTCTAAAGCAGCGCAGCATGGCCTCGCCCCCTTTGCTGCCTTTTCCCGAGAGCGGGGTTTATCTGGGTTTGTGATGTCACGAACCCGGGAAGTAACTTGTTGTAGTCTCTACCAGCCGTTTTTGTAGGCATTAAACTGCCAGAATTTTAAAAGACGATATCTCCATTTGCATTGAACTTTCAGCTTTGTAACTTTGCAGATATTGTTTATGCTCAAACAGCAACATTACACACTAACTAACGTTAAAAAAGTGAAACCGCAATGAACCACCCCTTTAAAGCAATCGTTATAATACTTTTTTGTATACATTTTAATTCCTTTGTTTAACAGTTCTATCTGATTATTAGATAGACTTCTATCCATATTAGACAGAACTGATCGACGACAGCGAACAAGAGGGAGAATGTGAGCGTTGTGCGCTCAGGCGCTGCGACTGCCGTTCTCAGCGCTGTCAAAATAAAAGTCCCGCCTCGAACACATCGGCTGATGCCGATATTTGAAAAATGCCAAATATCGGCCGATATATCGGTCGACCACTATATTCAACCGAAATGGGGCCCTTTCTCAAAAGGCAGAAAGATATGGAATGTTCTAATATAATATTAAACATTTAGCATTTAGTTGCATAGTAACCAAGTAAAACACAAGCAGTATCGCAATCACACACCTGGCTATTGAGGAAGCCCTCTGCTTGTTTTGCATCTCGTAGCAAGGTTTGGAAATCAAAGGCCTGAGCGAGGACACAGTGGCGGCTCTCCCACATTCTCCTCAGCTCATGCCAGCCAGTGTCCAACGCTTGCAGCCGCTGAGCTAGGAACATGTGCTGGGCATCAGTCTGTCCCTGAGTCACCTAAACACACAAAGCCAATTCAGAGATCCTTCAACTTCCTTATCTTTACAACAACTATTTTGAGGTATTTGTCAAATTTCAATAACATATGCATACTTTCATTCAGCAAGGATGTATTAAAATGACAGTAATGATATTTATGACATTAAAAAATATTTCTATTTCAAATAAATTTTTAACTTTCTATTAATCAAAAAATCATACAAAAAATGTATCAGGGTTTCCTTTCCTCAAAAATATTAAGCATAACAACTGTTTTCAAGTCCAGCAAATAGCATATTAGAATGATTTATAAAGGAACATCTATAATGGCTGCTGAAAATCACAAAAATATACTACATTTTTAAAAATAGAAAACAGTTATTTTAAATTGTAGTATTTCAGAATATTACTGTTTTTACTATATCAAATAAATGCAGCCTTGGTGAGCATAAAATACTTTTTTTCATATTACCGACCATAAACTTTTGAACAGTAGGAGTAATGAGATTTTTTAAACTTCAAGTTTACACTAACTGACCTCAGCTCCAGTAGCTCTCATCTTCTCATAATCTTCCCTGTAATTATCTACTTCATTCTTTATGGCCTCATGCTGAGCCAGCAGACGCTCTGCTTCCGTCAGAGATGTAGGTGTGTCCTCAGATGCCACGGTGGTCTGTGTACGAGACAGCCAGGCCTGGAAGTCATCAAGATCTCTAAGGAAGCCCTGAAGCTTAGAGGCTTCGCCCAATGATTCCTCGCGCCGTTTCATGGTGGCTCGAAGCTCCTCCCACACCTCCTGGATTTCAGCCAGTCGACCCTTGATCTCCTCCTCCTGCTCGGTGTGTTCAGATGCCAACTTCTCGGCCTCAGAACGCAGGTCATCCAGCTTACCCTGTGGAAAAGAAAGCAGAAGAGAATGAGTAAGAGAAAGGCCAAAGCTAGAGTGACTTTACGGCTGTATTATACATAATAGCCCCGTTTCCACCGCAGGAACTTTACACAGGAACTAGGGACTTTGGGCCGGTACTCGGTGTGTTTCCACCGTAGGAACTAGGATCTAAATAAAGTTCCAGGTAAAAAATTGCCCCTCAGAAAGTCCCTGCTCGCGAGGTAGTACTTTTTCAAAGGTCCGGAACTTTCGGGGGCGGGACATGAGCACTGAGCATGCTGATTGGTTGAACTCACGCAGCATTGTATTTCAACCACCATTTATTCGGATAATTTTCAAAATATTACTGTTATTGTGTCATGAAATGTAGTTTTAAAAGTATTTCAGGCGAGAATGTAGTTGTTTAAAACTCAATTCTGCAGTTTATTTATAAAGACAACGCCTATTTAAAAATGTGCTTCGCTGATTTCGGAGACGTGAGACGATCAGCGGGAGCTCAGTGCTCATGTTTCCCGATGACAGTAGCCTAACTTCGGCTAGTCCTTCTGACATTTGCCGCTGGCTCTGATGTCACTTTAGTGGTTAAAGAAGATATAATTCGTTTTGGGTAAATCTAACAGGTAATCTTTGGTCTTTATTCTATTCATCTATTAATATATTAAAATGAAAATAAAAAGGCAATACTGTTTGATATATTTCGTTTCATTGTAATCTAGGCTTTGTAATGTAGGCTATATACATTCCCTGAACTACATTTCTGTGGCAGCGGCTATTAATATGTTTAAATGAAAACGAAAGGAGGCAGTGGTGTTTGATATCATATTTCGTCTTATTGTAAATACAGTGAGGAAAATTGCAGTAGCCAAGGCGAGCTGACTGACGTTATCAAATATGCTGCTGTTTGCAGAATTACCGGACTTGCGTCGTCCCATCCGTGGGAGTTCACGCTCCAGAGTCGAATTTGTGAAGTCCGAACTACCGAGGATGCAAGTCTGAAATTTGCTTGGTATTGAGAAACGCGCGCAGACCTACATCACCAGACTATTTGCCTAATCGTCTCGGTACTTTAGACCCCGGTGGAAACACAGAAAGTACAGGTCTGGGGGGAAAAAAGTTCCTGGTACAATTGTTCCGGGTAATTCCGGTGGAAACGCAGCTAATGATGCCTTTCTTTTTACCTGTATAGCCTCCAGGTCTCTCTCCATACCAGTGAGCTTACGCTGCAGGGCCATGACCCCAGCCAGGTCATTTCCAAGGCTCTGCGTGGACTCGATGACCTTGGTCTTTTCCTTCATCCAGCTCTTGATCTCATTACACTCTAGATGATAGTTCTGAATATTCAGTGCTGATTCCAGAGCTTGTTTGCGCTGGTTGGCCAGACTCTGGAAATCAGACCACCTGCAGAGAAGGATAAGGAAGGAGAAGCATGAGGGCATTTCTGTGTGAATCTGATTATTTAACTTTATGAACCTTCTTTGTGTGTGTTTGTGTTGAGTTGGGTCTTGAGTTGTTAATCTCTTCTTTGTTGTGGTTTCGTCATGTGCGATGACTCTGGGTGTAGTTGATCTGCTCTTTGTGTTGGTGACTGTACCTCTTATTGAGTTGGTTCTGTGTCTGGTCGATCTGCTCTTTGTTGCGGTTGTCTGATCCAAGAAGCTGTTGAGCCACTTGATTGACATCAGAAATGCGAGCACCCAGTGTGTTCATCTCTGGCTCCAGAGTTTCAAACCTTCAGTCGAAACAAAAACCATATTACACCAAAATACGCCATATCAATGAGTTTCATGCAGGCATCAATATATCTGTTCTCACCTCTGCTGGATCACCTCCAGATCCTCTAGTTTGGTGGGAATCTCCATGTTGTCCAACCACTGTTCTTTTTCTCCAACCCACAGCTGGCAGGCACTAGCTTCACTAAACATACGATACAACGCAAGTGCTCCATCTAATGCCTGTCGCCATGATGACGACAGCCCCTCTAACTCTTCATATCGCTGCTCTATCGCTGGGAGACGGCCCTCCACCTGGTAAAGAACGAGAGAGATACATATTATGGGTAACATACATTACCATTCAAAAGTTTGGGGAAAGAAAGGTTTTTAATGTTTTTTTAACATTATAAATGTCTTTATTGAACAAAAGGATTAATCCCCCCCCCCCCCCCAAAACATTCATATACCCTTACTGATCCCAAACATTCAAACAGTAGTGTATAAGTACTAACAGCAGTGTCCGCCGATTCAAATTCAAATATATAAATAGCGTTTAATATCGCTTATTAATTTGTAGTTAATCCTAAATTAATTTCTAATGTGTGTTTTGTGTACCTGTGGAGCCTGTGCATATGTTTCAGGCAGTGTTGAGGCCTGTTCATGTAGTGAGTCGATGAGTGATCGGTGACTTTGAATTTCCTCCTCCACCTCTCTCTGCTTTCTGGCCAGAGTCTGTGTAGAAAACTCATCATGGCCAACTTCTTGACTAGACACCTGCAAACAGAACACAGAATAACAGTCAATCTGGCGACCGAACTCAGCAACACAGCTACACCATGATAAATTCTTCTGAAATATAGCTGGACAAACAGTCAGTTAAACATATGTTTATGTGTTTGTTTTACCTGTCTTAGTGTTTCCAGTATCCAGGCCTCCATGTCGTTGGCATCTGTCTGGAACTGATGGAAAGCTACAGACTCAATCAGTCCCTGCTCACGCAACTGTGAGGCCTGTAGAAAAAGAAAGTGCGAAATGTGGTATAAGATTGTGATGCTGTGGAAAGAGACACATTCCACTTTAAAGTTTGATCCTTTACCTCCTCCATGTGCGACCACTGTGCTCTCACGTCCTTGATTCGTTCTGTCACCTCAGGTGCTCCAAAGTGGCCTTCCTTCACCAGGGCCTCTCCACCAGCAATGCTGTTCCCTAGAGGGCCATAACGGGCTGCCATCTCATCCCTGAAGGCCTCATGTTTAGACAGAAGGTGAAGAGCGGAGCTTAAGTCCTTTCCGTAGTCTCCTCCGGACAGGATCTGCTCCTGCTCTCGGATCCAGGCGGCCTCCTCTCCCAGTTCCCACAGGAACTGCCACAGCTTTCGCGAGTCATCCAGTCGAGCTCGTCGATCCGCTGCCAGCTGCCCAAGTTCTCCGTACGCTCGGCCCAGAAGATCCACCTTCTCTTCAACCAGAGAGGGGTCACATGGCTTATAACCTAAAAAGAGAGGAGAACCAATTGTGTTTTAATTTTGAGCTTACAACAACCACATGTTTGTGTAAGTACAGGGAATATCCTCACTCTGTTCATTTGAAGTAAATCTCTTCGCAGCAGCCTGCACGGCTTTAACTCGCTCAGCCTGTGCGGATATATCAGCTTCCACGAGTGTGTGTTTCTGCAGTAAGTCCTCCACATCATGAAGGTGTTTTCCACTGTCCTGAGATTGCAGGCGACTCTAAACGCACAAACAAAAACACACAATTAGCTGTGGATGCAAAAAACAGCGATCTCCAAGGACAGATCTGTAAGACATTACAAATATTACAACATACAGGGAGCTGCAAGGGAGTGCTAGGAGATAAGTAGAAAAAGTTAGAGGAAAAAAAGAAAATTATTAAATAATTATAAATATTATTACTTTTTTCTTTTTCCACATGACACAAAAGAGAATAATAATAATAAGAAGAAATGATCAAATTTTACATTACAGTTCCATTCTGTTCTAAACAATCATGAGGTCAGGTTATAACAAATGATTTTATTCTACCGTAAGATTAAAAACGATTTTACAAATATTCATAATATTTTATAAAAATGTATTTTTCACAGTTTAAATGGGTAGCTTTCTTTATATTTTAAGAATGAGGTCTCACACAAGAGAATCATCATATTTCGGGGCCCATCAAATAAAAAATTTTGTAGCAGTGGAAAATAAAATGTTGGTCTGAATAAAGTCAGTACCTTCATGTCTTCCATCCAGTCCATGATGTAGCTCATCTCCTGTAGGAGGCGCTGCAGGTCTCTGTGGGCAAACAGCCTCTCTCTCCGTGCCGCAAGTAGTTCCTTCAGATACTCCCACAGTCTGAGGACGTTATCCCTCCGTGCCAGTATGCGCCGCACTTCATGATATCCCTCCGCCTCCAGTTCTCGAGCAACAGCTTCTACAGCTGCTACGCGCTCACCATACGCCTGGATGTCTGTCTCGATGGCCTCGTGTTTGCGAGTGGCTGCTTCCACAGCACCCAGTTCAACACCAAAATTGTCCTAAAGGTCGCGACAAATTCTTATGTTACTCATCATCTCACAATAAACCATAAATATTTTTGCCAGTGTTAATCTACGTCACCTGTGAGACCAGCCGCTGGTTTTCGCTGAGCCAGGTTTCTCTCATGGCTGCTTTGCGGTCAAAACGTGCGGCCAACATCTCCAGCTTCTCCTGACGAATCAGCTCATTTCTCAGTGCCAACTCCCTCTCGTGCTCCGCTTTCTCCAGCCTCTCCCATGCCTTTCCAGACAAGCAGCAAACACAACTGGCCATGAGCATCACTCAAAACTCAAGTTATGCTTGTGTAGCTTCACATGTAGAGGAGTATTTGATGTGTATATACCTTGTTGATGTCAGAGATGAGTTTTCCCTCTCGTGGCATGTAGACTTTCTGATTGTTCGCTCTCATTTTACTTTGAATGGTGAAGAGCAAAACCTCCAAATTTCCCTTTTCGGTGAATCTGTCAAACACATACAGGATTAAAGCGACGTGTCTAGAATGACTTCTGGACATCAAATGTTTAAAGTCAACATAAAAATCCTGTTTGCAGCCAATTTTTACTTCTGTAATGTGAATCCTGTAAACCTGATTTTATCCATTGGGAATTAAATGCTTAAAAAATGCCTACACTAGCTATTATTAAACATTATCCAACAATGCAAACGATTATTTTCTAACTCTGTATTTTTTTTATTGTTTTCCAATAGAAATTTCTAAGCATTCTTAAATCAAGACATATTTACTTGAGAAGCAAAATAACTTCTAATAGTTTTTTTTGGGGGGGGGGGAACATACATATCCACCAACCTACCAATGGGGTAAATGCTTTATTTTTCTTACCAGACTGGCAGATTTTTTTTTTTGTAAGCAGAAACTCAATTTTGAGTAATCACCTTAATATTTTGAGTAATAGCTTATGCCATGTTGATTCTCAGGTTTCAATGTTTCTTGATTTTAGAATGTTTAGATATTTGTACTAGACAACAAGACAAATATACCAAGTTAGAAAACAATTTTTGCAGTGAATGCACAGCTGATGTCAGCAGAAAAGAAAAGTCATTTTAGAGTAAAAGCAAGTTACATTTTAACTGAAGATCACATAGAATTTTCTGCTATGGAATTACATGCACCACTTGATCAGTAAGGCCAGGAACGTGCATTAAAAAGTAAACAGGGTCAGACTTGACTTTATGTTGGCTTTACATCACTCTTTTACAGTATATTTTATCCTTGTGGACATCACTCACTTGGGTGGTTTCTCCACGGTGCGGTATGTATTGAAGGCCTGTAGCTGGTTCTGAACCCCATTGAGCGAGTTAGCGAGCTGACGGTCATTAAGGGTAACGATGGTTTGTTCAATCCACTGCAGCAGCTCTGAGGCCAGAGTCTCATATTTCTCTATCAGCTGATCTGCTTCGATAGCATAGTCCAGCACCTACAGAAACAAATACACCCCTATTCACTCCACAGAATAATAACCCGCACTTACAGAAATAGAAATGCTTCAGGAAATGGTTATGTAAACATAAGGGTAGACTGTAATTCTCTCTCGCTCTCCATGTACCTTGCCGATTCTCTTGCCCTCTACGGCGAGCGCCTTCATCTTGCTGAAGTAGTGGTAGTATGTGGCCACATATGTGATGATGGACTTCTCATCAGGCTGATCAACATTCACATCTAAAGAACAAGAGATAAGACAAATACATCAGCTAGTTAATAATAAATAATATGTTAATTCTTTTCATTTGGCAAATCTAGCCTTTCTGGACAATGAAAGGTTCTGTGTTTATCAGCTTGCTTGACGGTAGCTCTGTCTTTATTGTCTGATTAAAAATTATGCATGTATTTGCTATTTATGCCCATATATTTATCTCACCCTCTGGATCCAGTAGCTTGGTAAGACCCAGCTCCTTCTCTGCCACATTAAAGGCATTCTGCAGGTTATAGTGGGCATTAGAGCGCTTAAGATTATCAAAGTCAATCAAGTCTGGCCTAAAAATGAGAAAGAGAGGAAGAAGAAATCCACAATAAAGTTATTTTGGGTTTGTAAAACTCCAAGAGGACATTTCAGTTTGAAAAATCCTGCAATACACTTTTCCAACAAAAGAGGGAAGCACTCAAACACTGCAAAGAGAAAGTGAAGGATTGTTCTCTCCTTATTTAGGTCAACTTAATCCAACTTTTTTTTTCTGTTCCTCTGCATGAAAAAATTGCAGAAAGAATTTTCAGAAAGAAATGGCAGAATTGCAGAAAGAAGCTGCTGGGCCACAGTTGAGAGGAAAAGTGCAAAAATGAGGAGCTAGTGGGACTGTTGAGGATGAGAGGAGCAGAAAATCCTACTGGGTCCAATTAATTTATAAATGAAATGATTTCTTAGGAAGAAGAAAGAGGAAATATACAAATCATACAATACTGTACAATATACAGTAAATACAGTTGAGACCAAGAACATGCTTCTACTTTTTTTTACCTAATGAATACATTACATTAAATTAAAAATGAAATTAAACTGAAATTAGAAGCATAAAAAAGAGAAAAGCTGAATTAAAGTTTTATGAGTTTTATGTAAATTTATAATGTCCAAAAAATATAGACATAGGCTTTTACACTATTTACAAGTCTCAAGACTTCTGTATTTATATGCACTTTTGGAGAACAAAGTTAAAATTCCAGAATGCCGCTGGTGGTTGAAGCCCCTGCAGGCCTCTCTGTATGTGTGGGAACATGCTGAAGAATGAAGGGGCGTAGAGTGTGTGAGTACATGCTACTATGTGGAAATCATAGTCATATCAAAGCTTGTCATGTGTTTGAGAACAAAGGCTTTGTACTTGTATGTCAGTGTGTGTGTTTGTGAGCTCAGATCGATACCTGTGTTTGTGCACTATGGCATTGAACGCTAGACCATCTCTCCAGCTGGTGGTAAAGTTGTGGACATTGACATTTGGGTAGCTGAAAGGAGAGTAGCATTCATTAGTACAGGAGAAGAACTAGTGTATTTAATAAAGCATCATACATTCACTCCTTCAATTAATTTCTTTCTCTTTCACTCTTACCCTGCAGTCTTCATCTGACACCACAGCAGCAGAGCATCTTTGGCTGATTTCTTCTCCTTGTTGTCCTCTGTCTCAACGCTAATGTCTTGGATCTGTTCAAACAAGTGAGATGTAATACATGTTACTGTATAAACTGCATATCTTTTCCTTGTAGTTTAGTTTCTAAGTTTGGAGGATTGGAGAGTTTTTAACATTTTTTACTAGACACCCATCAACATAGATGCTGTCTTTGTTTATGTTCTATAAGCTGTTGAGTCCAGTTTTGTAGACACTACTGAGAATTTAACAAACACTGTAACCACTACCTGAATTTCTGGCAGTAAATTGATTTGTAGAATGCAATTGTCACTCCTATAAATAACCAAACACTATGTGTGTACAATACATGATTCAGCACTCAGGAAAGCAGTGACAGCTTTATTTAGCTGTGATGTGTTCATGGCCTTTAAGTGATTTAACACAAACAAACCATATAAACCAATGAAATGTTTGCTGCCGATCACATATTTTACTGGTCTTTTATACAACACCGTTCCAAAGTTTTGGGGTTGGCAAGAATTTTAAAATATTTTTAAAAGAAGCATTTTATGCTCAACAAAGCTGCATTTATTTAATTAAGCACACAGTAAAAACAATAATAGTGTGAATGAAATATTCTCATTTTAAATTCTAATTTAATATATTTTAAATGTGATTTATTCCTGTAATGGCAAATTTTTAGCATTGTTCCAGTCTTGTGTTTCATGAACCTTCAGAAATCATTCTAATATTTGGATTTGATGCTCAAAAACATCTCTTATTATGTAAATACGAATTTGTATACAATAAATGATTCATACATAAAATAAACCGTAGGTAGATAATAAAATAATACTCCAAATTCTTAAAGGTCCCATATTGTCAAAACTGAAATTTCCTGGCTTTTTTCACGATTACTGAGGTCTAGGGGCTATTTAACTACCATATAAGTTTCAAAACAGTCAGTCCACAGTAAAATTCACACAGCCTGCTTAAACTTCTAGCTATTTTTCACGAACCGTTGTGACTTCCGTAAAAAGTTGATGTCAGAACTACACAGTCACTGCCTTCAGTCACCACCCCGAGCACCGCCCACAGTCCCACTCTCCTTTTGCCAAACCCCCAGACAACATCGCGTCCATGCTTTTGCTGAGCAAGGACAACACGGAAACATGTCGAAAAGGTTAACTTTAACCACGAAACCAGATCGGCCGACCTGTAACGTTACACTCTCACTCAAAGGATGGACCATCTGACAGGATTGTTACTATGAGGTGGATCACATCTAACGTGTATAGTAAAGACAAACTCACCGTGTCTATCTAGTCATGATGAAGATGTATATATATATATATTTCAATTTCAGCAGGCAACTATTTTTACAGCTACACTATTGCTCCAGCCACAATTAATCACAACAATGTATATACAATTACAAATGATAATATATAAATCGTCAGTTTGTTGTTTTACACACATGCACAAAGACATTATTTCATACACGACATAGTCGTGAGATGCAAGAAACATAGACATATGGCAAGAAATCTGTAGACGCGCCCATAACAACAAGACAATACTTTATTGAACCTTTTCTGATAAGAAGTGTGCGCTGCAAACGTGAGCATTTTTGACGATTCTTTCTGTCTAGTCTGCTCGTTTTATCGCGTTTAACCACAGCTGTCGTCGGTTTTTTGTCTGGCAGTGGTAGCAGATATGCGATCAGATTTCTAATTTGAGGCTGTATTACATCGATTCTGGCACCCAACATCACAACAAGATGATATTTTAAGCTCCTTATGTAGCCGAATCTGTGCTGGTTTGAATGGGCCACCTCCAGTTTCTTCTTTGTTTTGCTGCCTCCAGCTAGCGCTGTGACGTCGCTGACCCTAGTTACCTGTGGTTGGCCTAGCCATGCGTCACTCAGAAAACAACAGGCCAATCAGAAGAGAGGCTCATGAATATTAATTAGACAGACCAAAATCGACCTGTTCTCAGCATAGCTCCTGAGAAAGGAGCTGTAAAAATATATTGAGATGGTTTTTGGTACTTATTCTTATACATATTCTTAAGGACATCAAAACCTCAAATAAAACTCCAGAAAGGTGTACAATATGGGACCTTTAAGCTTTCGTACCCTCATGCTAACAGTGTGCAGCTCTAAAATCTATAGATCTATATTACTATATCACAGCCAAACAGAACTCTTGCTGAGAGATATCTTAAACCAGACTGAAATATCGACAAACACGCACACTAACACAGAACATAACACTGCCAAGCTTCACTAAGTCTGTTATTAAAGTCATCTTGATCCATTTCAGACTATATCCCTATCATAATTCATAATCTGCTGGGATTCATTCAGCAAAGAATGAAAAGTAAAAAGTTCAATCTTCTGTAATTATGTCATTGCAGCAATATAATAAAACACAAATCAGCAACATCTTCACAAACTAATCAGAAGCAGTGATGAAACGCAGTGAGCAGTCTGGATCACGTGCTTTGATAATTAGTATATTTCAATTGAAGGAATTTTGAGCTGATTAAAAAATGTACAGGCCAATCAAAAGGGCAACGAAGCAGCAGACAAAAATATGCCAATTATACTTCATTGTGAATAGATGACAGACTGATACAGCCAAGGACAAACAAAAAGAACTGAACTTGATTAAAGGGTTAGTTCACCCAAAAATGAATACGCGGAACGCCTTCCGTGTATGACAGTCAGCGGAAGTGAGAAAAAAAGTGTTTATTACGTTTGAAATATGGAGATTTATCTTACAAAAATGCATGGATTCGCTACAGGAGGCCTTTATTCACCCCCCGGAGCCGTGTGAGGGACGTTTTATTACGGATGCATGCACTTTATTTCACGTCTTCTGAACTGTTGACAACCAACACCCGCTTACCCCCATTGTAAGGCTTGGAGGGGGCAGGACAATTTTTAATATAACTCCGATTGGATTCGTCTGAAAGAAGAAAGTCACATACACCTAGGATGCTTTGAGGGTGAGTAAAACACAGGCTAATTTTCACCCCAAAATTTAATTTTTGGGTGAACTAACCCTTTAATAAAAGACAAAAGATCACAATAATGACAGATAATCACACATTCTGCCAAAAACCTTTTTTTGGGCTCATCATGTATGTCTATGAATCAAACTCCAAAGTCAGGATTATATTTAATATTGTGGGCTGCACTACACAACTACAACCAGTGCACCAAAACATTGGCATGAACACTGATTTAGTTAAAAACAGGTGTTGCCATTTCTTCAGTAACAAGTGAAAGATGCTATTTCTCTCGATTAAAGACTCCACCTGTCTGTCTCTCTATCTCTCACACCCCTAGTCAAAGCCACGCCCTCCTACCTGGAAGCGGAGGATTATGGTCCAAATGAGTCCAAGTGTGAGGCGGTGGTTTCCGTCGACAATATCATGAGAACCCATATTCTCCAGATGAACCTTTTGTTCCTTCAGGAACTGCAGAGCCTTGTCAACGTTCTCCAGACAGTGGATGCGCATACGGCCCTTGGTGGGCTTTGGCTAAACAAGAGAACGAGAAGTAAAACAAATTTAATAAATGAAAGTGTAGTGATTATCACAGCAACCCAGCATTTGATTTATAGAGGGCTAGAGGATCAAGACAATAGAAAACAGGTTTATTAGGGATGGATGGATGGATGGATACATAGAGGGATGGATGGATGCACAGATGGATGAATGGATACATAGATGGATATAAAGAATGATGGATGGATGGAGGGGTTGCTGACCAGTTGTTCCCCAGAGAGGACCTCCAGCAGTCGGATAAGCATACGTCCATCGCGGAGGTCAGTGTAGAGGTCACCAATCCTGCAGGTCACACGGCCCAGGTGAGAGTTCACCCATTTTGTAAAGGTCTTCTTCTGCACTGCTTCTCTCTCATCTGAGAGAAAAAAGTAAAAGTAGTTTTAAAGGTCAAACAACACAAATCAGTAACATTCACCTATGGTTCACTGAAGCCCAAGCACAAACACCAATTTGAACACAGATTAGCATTCATAAACTGCAAAAGCCTGTGAATGCATATCAAAAATGATCTAAAATTACACATCATGTAAAAAAACATGAGGTCTCTAAAAACAAGACTCCATTAATTTTCCTGCTACACACCATGTCAGAACATGTATTTTACAACTCTGCATAAAATGAACATTCATGAATGACATGCAGTGACCAAGGACTGACTGTAACTCTAAACTCTATTAAAGCAACTCAATTACTGCAGTGCACGGACACATTAATCTGTGCAGACCTCACTCACAGCCAGCCAATTACATGACGGAATGGGCGGGACTCCCCAGCAAAAAGCACTGTGAGATGTTACAAAGAATACCATTAAAAAAAAAAATGTGTATCTGCTCATAAGATTGATCAATGAACAATGAAGACAGACAGATAGAAAAAGACCAAGACGGGGAGGAAAAGAAGAGGAACGCTTGATATGACTGCAGACAGATGAGTAAAGAAGAGCGCAGTATTAGCATCGCAGGAACTCATGTGAAAGCATATGGGGCTGGTCAGTAAGAGGCTCAACCCACTGCTGTCATCTGAATGACCTTTACTGAGGAAGAGCAAGCTGTTTATCACAAACACTACTAAATGCTGCCCCTCACTACCACCTATATTCAGAAAGACTGAGCGAGAGCTGCGTGCTGTGTTGCGTGCACTAATACGAGAAGATAATTCCTGTAACAAGTTTAAATGAAGCATGGTAATTTAATTGCTGATAAGAAAAATGTCATGAGCACAAGACGCCTCAGTCATTAAACAAACACATTCCTCATAGATGCTGAAAACAAGCACACAAAATAACGCACAATAGCAGCGAGAGGCAACACAAGGTCAGCCTCAGAGACATCTGGTCACAGATCTTCTCTCACGCACAAGCCCACACGGTCTTCCATTAGGGCTGAGCTTGTTATTTCACAGGGAATTGGATCAAACAGTACATCTGTACAGTACCTGTACATCTACAACTGAAAATCTCAGAGTAATTGACTTTCACACTGCTAAAAAAGTAGTTAAAAAGCAAAGGACACACGATCTGAAAAGTGTGTTTGTGTGTGTCTTCAGAGGCCTGATCCTGGTCAGACAGTGGTCAGATGCAAATGGGTGAATCTCACAAGATCATGCAGGTCACAAATTATTTTTAGAAATTAGTTCTGTAAATAAATATTAATTAAATCAACATATAGATTTCTTGACAAAACTACAATTTCATATTATATATTTTTAATAAAATTATACAACAAACAAAAATTATACTTTGATATAGATAAGCGGGACCAGATAGTAAAAGAAAAGCAGGCAAAAAGTGCATATAAACACCTTTGAGACCGTTCACACCCAGATGGATTGACAAATAGGTTAAGAGGAAGCTGAGAGTGTAATCTAGCTTTAATCTGGCCCAGTGATTCTCAACTGGTGATTTGGGAGATAAACAAGCTATGAGTACAAAACCATATAGTGGCCAACATGGACATGCTGTGTGACATTTCCTCATCCTCATCAACCATGAACAAAACTATGCAGCGTCAACCCAGACTACATTACACACTAGTTACATCTGGTACTTAGCCTAGCTGTGTGTGCGCCTTTGTGTATGTGTATATGTATCTTGTGTAGGGGTGTGCGATATTGACAAAAAATAATATCTCGATATTTTTTGGGATTTTATCGATGACGATAATTAGACGATATTTTACTGAGTGTGTTATTGTGCTGGTACCTTAAGGACTGCCGAAGACAGCTGACTCATAATGTTTTTAATATTCTTCATATTCTGTGTGGTGGTCAGTTCATACTGATAGAAATTAATCTTTTCCAATAAGTTTAAACTGATTTTTACATTTTATGGGCATTTTTACCTTTATAAAGCCATTTTTTCTAGAAGTGTTCATTATCTTTTGAGTCAAATTCTGTATGCGTGTGCTCTGTAGGGATGTTTTGAATGGTTTTTGCAAAATACTCGATAATGTCAAATCGCACATAGTTAAAACAACAATTACGATATTATCGCAGACGATATATATCGCACACCCCTAATCTTGTGTTTCAGCATTTTGTTAATAATAATAATATACATACATACAATTCTAGAGCCACAATAGGGGCTTTCGCACCGCGTAGTTCTAGGAACTAGCCAGCAGGGTAGTTCCTAGAGAACCAATTTCTCCCTCGGGCCGTTTTCCTGGTTGCATTCGAACTGCATTTGAACTGCAGCAGGAACTCTGAAGCGGCCGACAGCGATGTCTTTTTATAATGGAGATGGAGATGTAAACGGACAACTTGCGCGATTGCAAGAGCAAAAGGTTGGGCTAAGAGACTAATTTTTTATGACAACTTGCAGTGTTACATATCATCGAAGCTGAGACAAGAACACAACACTGCAGACAACAGTTAAATGCCGTTATCGCCATTTTCCATGTTCATGGAGTAAATATGTTTACATGGCTTTTTAAAAATGCCGGGTGGCCGGTGTTTCGCGCGCGTTTGGCCAGTCAGCGTACACTTACGTCACTGATAGTTCCTATAGAACTGTTTTAGACCCTGCTCTAAAGTAGGAGCTAATTTAGTTCCTCCAAACAGAGTTCCTAGAACTAAAACCGTTCCTAGTTCCTGCGGTGCGAACACGCCAAAAAGTGGGCAGTTCCACAATTAGTTCAGGTACTATGAAAAGGTTCCCGCGGTGCGAAAGGCCCTATAATGAATTGTGGTTCATTTTATATAGACATTAAATACATACCCCAGTTTTTATTAATAAAGAGTGTGAAACTAAGCAGCTTTGTCATCATAATTACAGCATTAATACATTATTAGGCTATATTTGGGGCGTTATTTGTTGTATGTGAAAAATGTTAAAAACCTGTTATTTCATGGTTTAGATGGGTTTCGCAAATCCAGACAGAGTACAGGGTAAAATTATATTAGTTGCATTACACGAGGCTATAGTAATCTTGATCTACAGTCAAAAGAATTTAGAATAGAGAACAGGGCTTGGTCCTTTTGCTTCCACTGATATGATCACACTCTCACTCGCCTACAAATTCATTCAGGGAAATGCTCCACACACCAGCTGAGCAAACCTGTTCTGCCTGTCACCGTCACTGAGAGGAGGGACAGTGCTTTCAAGCACACAAACACTCTTATATGCACATAATCGCAGAAAATGCTCCGCTTTACTGGTTTGGATGTAGAGACCTGAACTAGCTTGAGCAGGGCTGGAGTAGGGGTGACTTTGATAAGACGTCTGGACAATTTCACCCTCTGGCCAGTTTGTGAAAACATCTATTACTCTGCAAAAATAAGCAGTTCATATTGCAGCATATTTTTGAGTTTTCCCTTGTTGGGAATTGCTGGCTGCTCATGAGTAATAAGAAAAACACTATGTACACCTGTGGATATAGTGCACAGTATTGAATAACAATCTATTCAAATGTGAATGATCTGTGTGATCAAATATTGGAATTCCATTTCGGAATATAACTGTCAGTAGTAACTCACACCCACACACTACATGAGGTGTCCAAGGGCATTGTGCTTTAAGAGAATAAATATTTATCTTTTATCAAATAAAAGGAATTTGTGTGTTGACCAAACAGGTCCAAAACTGCAATGAAGGGTCAGTGTGTGTGTGTGTTATCAGAGTTGTGGTGATCTAGTGTGTTAGCCTTGATCCGTTTAGAAATGAGGAGACCTTGAGCATTCCACACCGAGGAGGAGGAGGACACACACACACACACACACACACACACACACACACACACACAGGAAGCAGAAGGGAGTCTGAGGACTCTGACCTGCTTTACAATGCAAATTGGAACGAGAGGGTACAGCAGTCATTTGACCATTAAGATGGACAGTCAATATGAACAGATAATCAGTACATACCTGCTATTCAAATTGATTCACACACATGTATCTGTCTTCTTCCCCCATTCCACATAATAGACCTCATAGTTACAGAAAAGGCCAGTGTACACTAGGCATGGGCCGATTACCGGTTTCAAGGTATACCGCGATTTAAAAAAAACGCTAATATTTTCCGTTATACCGTTCCTGCGGTATGCTCTGTTTTTCATGTCTCCTCAGAGACTGAAAGTGTAGGAATCTCATCTCGTCTTCATATTAAAGCAGTGTTTCAGCACAGCGCTGCTTTGTTTACAGCGGTAACCAAGGAAACCAAGGAAACGGAGTGAATCTGCGTCTCATTCAGAGCTCCTGCTGTTTGTTTCGTTCAGGCATGTAGTATAATTTCACAAAGCTAGTCAGAACATTCTGTTTTT